AAGCCCACATTTTATGATTCTCTTTCTCCTTCTCAAAATATAACGGAGGGCATCTCAACTTCTCTAATTCTTAAACTTTTGCTTCGGAAGCATATCATCTTTTCTTTAAAAATATTGCAAGTTTTAACATTTGCATCAGATGTTATAACAATGGCAAAAAGTCCAATCATAACTTTCGTGTCCTTGAAAGTGATACCATAAACTATATTTTGAAAGACAATATCTTAAATATTTTGATACACAATATCTTAAGGTCACTTTAGTTTACTAAACTCTTTTATCTACAATCCTTTGCTTCACTTGTATTGTAATCTTTATATTTTAAGTTTATGATTTCTTTTTCTTATATTCTTTTTACTCAGTTCAATTTTTATATTTTTTAAGATGATATCCTTTGTTAATAATGTTAAATTAATTAATGACAAAGCGAAACTTAATACATAATTAAAATTTACAAATCATGCACTCAAAACAATTCATAAATAATAATCAATTTTAGTAATTAATAATTAAGAATAATTAATTACTATTATAGCCAATTTGGCTAGTGACAATTATTATTAAAATGAAAAAAAATACTTTTTAATTCTTCTATTAATCTTTTAAAATTTAAAAGTATGTAGTTTTAATATTTAAATTAAATGTTTAATGAAGATCTTTTACTGTTATAAATTTAGAACAAGACTGAATTTACATATTGTATAAAATCTGATAATTAACTTATATCTAGAGCGATACAAACAGAATTTCTGAAAAAGTAGAATAACCAAAGCATATTTAATCGTATTAAAAACGTTTATTCATATAAACTGTTTGCACTTTTTATAATTTTTTATATATGGTTTGATAAAACTTTCTCAAAGTAAGTTTTTTTAATCTTTTTTATATATAACAGAGATTTATTGTTCAAAAGAAATTTGTTATGTATGGAAAATAGTTCTAAGGAAAAATGAGCTATAGTGTAAAACAATTTCGCACCATTTTTCAATTAAAAATCACAATTCATAATAAACTTCATTCAAGTTTAAAAGAGTACAATTTTATTTTACTGTCCTAGATAAAATTTTATATTGGTGGAGCTAGATTCATAATGAATCATGTTGTCCTCCACCGCTACAATAAATTGTGTAGCAGAGGATCTACCGGTTCATGTCCCATACTCTTATTTATTTCCTCAAATACCCTTTTGCCTTTTTTTGTCTCATGCATATAAATAATTGTGATTATTTACATTGATCAAGAACAAAATGTACTTTTATTTTTTGAAATAAGATAATGGGTGGTCTAACTAAATTAATCAAAGAAAATAAAATATTGCATATGTTTTGTAGAAGCAGTATTATTATATATTACTATAAAGTTAATATCCCAACTTATCTTCACCTTTGTCACTCTTTCATGTAATTCCAAATCATTCTGATAAAACGTGCCATGGGGACCTATGTCTCTTATCAACAACACCCTCACTCACGAGAACACTTTCTTCCTAATTTTAAAAATATTAAAATTTTGGTACCCAATAAAACAAAATTCTTATAATAAATACCTAATAAAAAACTCAAAATTATTATAAAAATTTAAAATTAATTAAATTACATTAATTTTTAAAGTTGAATATATTTTAGGGAAAATGATACTTGAACAACCATTTTTGACAACATTTAGACACGCGCACACGTGTCAAAATCTGAGTGGTCCAGTTGGAAAAATTAAATGAAAATGGACCACTCAGATTTTGACACGTGTGCGCGTGTCTAAATGTTGTCAAAAATGGTTGTTCAAGTATCATTTTCCNTTGGTGACTGCAAAAGAACTTGCTTTGAGTTGTTCTCAGCGGTTTCTATATATCCGTGTTAACTGTTAAGTGAAGGAATGTGTATAGTGAGATTACTGGAGCTCGATGGGCTGGAAAGAAAAAAAAGCTTGCATTTTTACGTGCAAAAACTCATCATGGCATTTGAGAAATTTGCTGATAAAACCACAAAAGTCTCCCCTTCACTCTCTTTTAAAGACTTTTTTCCCTTCATGACATTGTGTTCAAAAGGAATTGTATCTGGACAAGAAAATAGTACAATAATTTCAACACAGAAAGAGATAATAGAAGGGAATCAAGAGATAAGAAAACATAAAATGTCAAACTGTCGTAAACATAAAAAAAAAACATAATATCATAAACATAAGACTAAATAAGTTCAGTGTTTACTCACATGCGAATGTGTTAAGTTTTACTTTTACACGGGTGATAAAATATAGATTATTTTGTGAAAAAACACACGTTGGAAACCAGCAGAAACAGGATTTTACAAAGATTTATGTTTACACATTCTTTTATTTGTCCCAGACACTTCCTTTAAAAAATAAGAACATGTATCTGAACTTAACATTATAAAATATTATAATAATGATATATACTAAAGTTAATTTGAACTTTATATCCACCCTAGGAACCTAGCATAGTCTCTCTTACCCGTCTGCTCTGTTTCACTTATTAGTGTATTTATTTGTTGTTACCAGTAGTAGTAAATTTCTCCGAAACAGAGGAAACAATGTCAGGTGAGAAGTTAGAAGGCATTGTCTGAAAATAGTTGTCACTGTTATAAAGCATTCAGTCACTAATGTCGCGGAACTTTTCACCCCAAGAAGGGAAAGAGGTGAGTTTTTTCAACGTTTGAAATCGAATCCAAAGAAGCGAACAGTAATGTAGGATTTGACCTTGGAACACCCAAACCAAACATTTATCTATTTTATTTAGTATTGTTGTTAATATTACCTTCGAGGGGAAACGAATTGAATGCATGTTATGTTGTACCTCATTACATTGAAGACGTTTTGGCTAGGTCACTGGGTCACGTGGCCACATTGTCCATTTGTGTTTCGCAGTGGGGTCCCCAATTGACCGTCAGAACTCAGAAGTCAGACAGCTTTGATTATGCCCAATAACCAAACAAAACTTTTCATTAAACTTGGCATCTTCTCCTCGGGAAAATAACTTCTATTACTAATCTAATACAATAATATTTTTAATGTTAAAAACATAATTAAATATATTTTTTATTTTTAAATTTTAATATAAAATTAAAATTTATCTTGCAATTTTAACATAATTTTATTTTTCAATTTAAAAAATAATAAATATTTTTTTTTAATTCAACTATGTTAATTCTTTTATATACCCAAAATATTTTGGGTTAATGTATCAGTTATGTTAATTTTTCTACTTATTAAAAGAATTTTTTAATTAATGTTGGTGTTGTTTACATAATTTGATAGTGAGTCAATATAATTTAAATATTTGTTTTTAAAATAGTTTAACACATAAAAAAATTAATATATTTAAATTAAGAAAACTATTTTAGTTCATTTTATAAATTGAAAAATAAAAATATATCAAACTTTTAAACGTAATAAACAATTTTTTTTAGAGACTAAAATATAGGAAAATGACACTTGAACAACCATTTTTGACAACATTTAGACACGCGCACACGTGTCAAAATCTGAGTGGTCCAGTTGGAAAAATTAAATGAAAATGGACCACTCAGATTTTGACACGTGTGCGCGTGTCTAAATGTTGTCAAAAATGGTTGTTCAAGTGTCATTTTCCTATATTTTAGTCTCTAAAAAAAATTGTTTATTACGTTTAAAAGTTTGATATATTTTTATTTTTCAATTTATAAAATGAACTAAAATAGTTTTCTTAATTTAAATATATTAATTTTTTTATGTGTTAAACTATTTTAAAAACAAATATTTAAATTATATTGACTCACTATCAAATTATGTAAACAACACCAACATTAATTAAAAAATTCTTTTAATAAGTAGAAAAATTAACATAACTGATACATTAACCCAAAATATTTTGGGTATATAAAAGAATTAACATAGTTGAATTAAAAAAAAATATTTATTATTTTTTAAATTGAAAAATAAAATTATGTTAAAATTGCAAGATAAATTTTAATTTTATATTAAAATTTAAAAATAAAAAATATATTTAATTATGTTTTTAACATTAAAAATATTATTGTATTAGATTAGTAATAGAAGTTATTTTCCCGAGGAGAAGATGCCAAGTTTAATGAAAAGTTTTGTTTGGTTATTGGGCATAATCAAAGCTGTCTGACTTCTGAGTTCTGACGGTCAATTGGGGACCCCACTGCGAAACACAAATGGACAATGTGGCCACGTGACCCAGTGACCTAGCCAAAACGTCTTCAATGTAATGAGGTACAACATAACATGCATTCAATTCGTTTCCCCTCGAAGGTAATATTAACAACAATACTAAATAAAATAGATAAATGTTTGGTTTGGGTGTTCCAAGGTCAAATCCTACATTACTGTTCGCTTCTTTGGATTCGATTTCAAACGTTGAAAAAACTCACCTCTTTCCCTTCTTGGGGTGAAAAGTTCCGCGACATTAGTGACTGAATGCTTTATAACAGTGACAACTATTTTCAGACAATGCCTTCTAACTTCTCACCTGACATTGTTTCCTCTGTTTCGGAGAAATTTACTACTACTGGTAACAACAAATAAATACACTAATAAGTGAAACAGAGCAGACGGGTAAGAGAGACTATGCTAGGTTCCTAGGGTGGATATAAAGTTCAAATTAACTTTAGTATATATCATTATTATAATATTTTATAATGTTAAGTTCAGATACATGTTCTTATTTTTTAAAGGAAGTGTCTGGGACAAATAAAAGAATGTGTAAACATAAATCTTTGTAAAATCCTGTTTCTGCTGGTTTCCAACGTGTGTTTTTTCACAAAATAATCTATATTTTATCACCCGTGTAAAAGTAAAACTTAACACATTCGCATGTGAGTAAACACTGAACTTATTTAGTCTTATGTTTATGATATTATGTTTTTTTTTTATGTTTACGACAGTTTGACATTTTATGTTTTCTTATCTCTTGATTCCCTTCTATTATCTCTTTCTGTGTTGAAATTATTGTACTATTTTCTTGTCCAGATACAATTCCTTTTGAACACAATGTCATGAAGGGAAAAAAGTCTTTAAAAGAGAGTGAAGGGGAGACTTTTGTGGTTTTATCAGCAAATTTCTCAAATGCCATGATGAGTTTTTGCACGTAAAAATGCAAGCTTTTTTTTCTTTCCAGCCCATCGAGCTCCAGTAATCTCACTATACACATTCCTTCACTTAACAGTTAACACGGATATATAGAAACCGCTGAGAACAACTCAAAGCAAGTTCTTTTGCAGTCACCAAGCTCATGGCCACTACTACATTCTGTACATACCTATTCCTTCTCTCTGTGTCCCTTTCAATCTTCAATCTTAGTTCATCTTCATCAGAGAGGGACACCCTTCTCTCCTTCAAGGCCTCCATAGTAGACTCTAAGAAAGCCTTGTCTGGCTGGTCCAACACTTCATCAAACCATTACTGTAACTGGACTGGAATAACCTGCTCCAACACACCTTTACTCTCTGTAATTTCTATCAACCTTCAGAGCTTAAACCTTTCTGGGGATATCTCATCTTCCATTTGTGACCTTCCAAATCTGTCTTATCTCAACCTTGCCGATAACATCTTCAACCAACCCATCCCTCTTCACCTCTCTCAGTGTGGTTCCTTGGAGACTTTGAATCTCAGTACCAACCTCATATGGGGCACTATCCCATCTCAGATTTCTCAGTTTTCTTCCTTGAGAGTGCTCGATTTGGGAAGAAACCACATAGAAGGAAATATCCCTGAGAGCTTAGGCTCCTTGAAGAACCTCCAAGTCCTCAACATGGGAAGCAACTTGCTTTCAGGTAGTGTGCCTGCTGTCTTTGGCAATCTAACTAAACTTGAAGTTCTTGATTTGTCTCAGAATCCATACTTGGTGAGTGAGATTCCCGAGGATATCGGCGAGCTTGAAAATCTTAAGCAGCTTCTGTTGCAAAGTTCTTCTTTTCAAGGCAAAATTCCAGATTCTCTGGTGGGCCTGGTTAGTTTGACCCATTTAGATCTCTCTGAGAACAACCTAACAGGTGGGGTTCCTCAGGCTCTACCATCTTCTCTGAAGAACCTGGTTTCCTTAGATGTTTCACAAAACAAGCTTTTGGGGCCATTTCCAAGTGGCATCTGCAAAGGAGAAGGCCTTGTAAACCTCTGTCTCCACTCAAATTCCTTCAATGGTTCAATACCCAACTCCATTGATGAATGTAAGAGTCTTGAGAGATTCCAAGTCCAGAACAATGCCTTCTCTGGAGATTTCCCCGCTGCCTTGTGGTCATTACCCAAAATCAAGCTCATTAGAGTTGAAAACAACAGATTCTCAGGCCAAATACCCGAGTCAATTTCAGGAGCTGTTCAGTTGGAGCAAGTTCAGCTCGACAACAACAGCTTTGCGGGTAAAATTCCTCAAGGTCTTGGCCTTGTCAAGAGCTTATACAGATTTTCTGCTTCTCTCAACCGTTTCGATGGTGAACTTCCTCCTAACTTTTGTGACTCTCCTGTTATGAGCATAGTAAATCTCTCCCACAATTCTCTTTCTGGTCAAATACCAGCGCTAAAAAAATGCAGGAAACTAGTTTCATTGTCTTTGGCCGATAACAGTCTAACTGGAGAAATCCCCTCTTCTCTTGCCGAGCTACCTGTACTCACCTACCTTGATCTTTCAGATAACAATCTCACAGGTTCAATCCCACAAGGGCTTCAGAACTTGAAGCTTGCTCTTTTCAACGTCTCCTTCAATCAGTTATCAGGTAAAGTACCATACTCCTTGATTTCTGGTCTCCCTGCCTCATTTTTGGACGGAAACCCTGGTCTTTGTGGCCCTGGATTGCCTAACTCTTGTTCTGATGACATGCCAAGACGCCACATTGGTAGCATTACAACCTTAGTATGTGCTCTCATCAGTTTAGCCTTTGTTGCTGGAACTGCCATTGTTGTTGGTGGGTTTATTTTGTATAGGAGGTATTCCAAGGGAAATCGAGTGGGGGTCTGGCGATCAGTGTTCTTCTATCCTCTCAGGATTACCGAGCATGATCTACTGGTAGGGATGAATGAGAAAAGCTCAATGGGAAATGCTGGGTTTTTTGGTAGAGTTTATGTTGTGAGTTTACCTAGTGGTGAACTAGTAGCTGTGAAGAAGTTAGTCAATTTTGGAAACCAGTCCTCCAAAAGTTTGAAAGCGGAGGTGAAGACTCTGGCAAAAATTAGGCACAAGAATGTTGTTAAAATTCTGGGGTTCTGCCACTCCGATGAGTCAGTGTTTCTCATTTATGAGTACTTGCACGGAGGGAGCTTAGGGGATTTGATTTCTCGTCAGAACTTTCAGCTGCAGTGGGTGGTTCGATTAAAAATTGCCATTGGAGTTGCTCAAGGGCTGGCATATCTTCACAAGGATTATGTCCCTCACTTGCTTCACAGAAATGTCAAGTCAAGTAACATTTTGTTGGATGCAAATTTCGAGCCAAAGCTCACAGATTTTGCTCTTGATCGAGTTGTGGGAGAAGCTTCATTTCAGTCAATTTTGAACTCTGAAGCAGCATCTTCATGTTACATCGCACCAGGTATGATAAGCTGTGTTCAAACAACATCAAATGCATTCTCCCATAATTGAGCTAACTCATTGGTAGAGTATTTTTTTCATACAAATTAAGACCTACATGCATGCTTGGATTTTCACTTTATATGAAATAGCTTGAATTTTGAGATAAACTCTTAAGATCGTTGTTGTGTTGTTGCAATGCAGAAAATGGTTACAGTAAGAAAGCAACTGAACAATTGGACAGCTACAGCTTTGGCGTGGTACTACTGGAGCTAGTGAGTGGTAGGCAAGCAGAAGAAACGGAGTCAAGTGACTCAGTTGACATTGTGAAGTGGGTTAGGAGGAAAGTGAACATCGCTAATGGGGTGCATCAAGTTCTTGACCCAAAAATATCAAACACTTTTCACCAAGAGATGATTGGAGCTCTAGATATTGCACTTCGTTGCACTTCTGTGGTGCCTGAGAAAAGGCCATCCATGGTAGAAGTTGTTAGAAGCCTTCAATCCCTGGAGTCAAGAAGTTGCATTGCAAATTTGCATGAACCAAATGAGGAACCCTCACCAGTCTGAACTTCTGAGTCCAAACTCAAAGACTGCTTTGTTTTTTGTTGAGTCTTTGTATGTAAATTTTAAGGTCTGTATTTCACATAATTTTTGTTTTTTCTTCTTTCTATCTGATGAATTGAGATATAGGAATGGTTTGCATGATACATTCTCTATTTGGCATTGGATTGTAAGTGTTAATCAGGAGTGCCATGACGTATTGGTTTAGACACTTGCATTTATGATGCAGACTCAAGGTTGGAGTTCAAGTACACAACCAACTTCAGTGTACTTTTTTCTGTCATATGGTGGAGAATACACTACATCTAAAACAGATGTCACGAATCTTTCAAAATACATTGTGAACTAAGCATTTAGCTTATTCATAGCAGTACAAAACCAAGCAAACTTTTTCAATGGGTAAAGAAGATTTGATAGCAGATTTCTGTAATAATAAGGCAAGTGTGAGGTGTGAAAAGTGGTATGACACGTTAAACTTTATCTAAACTTTAGTTTGCCATTTTCTTTAGTCAAAGTGGTAGTAACTAGCAAAAGAAAATAATCCATATGGTACAAGTACTGGTGATTGATTTTTAGATAGTAGTTTCTTCTTTTTTTATTCAAATTTGATCATTATTGTTGTCATTATAAAAAGAAAATAATAAAATAATTAATCGAGAGAATGAAGAGGCACTAAACATTTTTAAATATGGATTTATATAATGTTCTCTATAATCGACGTGAGACTTGCTAAAATATTATACAATTTCTTGAAGATAGTTTCAATCTTTAAAAAGATATCAAGTTTGAACAGATAATCATATGATACAAAACATGGAGATAGAGTAGAGTGAAGTGCGTTGTGAGGAGTGTAGATGTTACAAGTTCTAGGTGAATGTGGTCTTCACAAATTACGAATTTAGGTGTCCTACAGAAAAATAATTGTAGAAAATTATCTATATGTAGAGATGTATCATAACTTTTTAATTTGTAACCAAATCGAGATAGTAATAATATTTTTATAATGCCAAATATAAATAAAAAATAGTTAAGAGTGGAAGTGATTTTTTATAAATAGAATTTAAAATTTTTATTATTGAAATATAAATAATAAATTAAAAAATAATTTTTTTATCTCTTATTTTTTTAAAGGTTATGATAGGTTTGTTTATCTTTTTTTAATATCAAAGTCTATCATAAAGATCATGAGTAGAGTAAAACAATTTTGTTTCATTATAATTTTTATCAAAGTAATTTCAATTTTATCTTTTTACTTGAGTTAGGTTTAAGAAGTTATGTGCTTGTCCATGACTCGATTGGATTTGAGATAAATCTCTTTTTGTCTAGTATGGTTAAAATATGTTCAAATAATTTATTTGTGTTATTTATATAAAATTATTGTTTTTAGAGTCAAGAAACTTATTTTATATAAGAAAAAATAATTTAATTACAATAACGTTATGAGTTACAAAATCTGAATTTAGAAGTTGAATTACAATAAGTTAATGAATTTTATGGAAGTGTAATATGGTTGATTTAATTTGAAATGTTTTAACATGAGTAGGTTGAGTATCTTTAGTTTAATTTGAAATAGTCTAATTTTTTATCAATCGGGTTAAATTAGTTTAGTTTGATGTTATTTAGATTAAGTGTATAAGTTTTGGTATAATAAATTCAAAAAAACAGTCAAACTAAATTATGTAGACTCGTTGGCTAAGTTATCATTTCACTGAGCAAAATTAAATTTCAATGAGCCCTTAAATAGGACTCCTAAAGTTTTTGGAAAGCTAATATGAAGACAATTAATTTTTGTGGAAAACCTGAGCACTCAAAGAGGACTTGTGGTTGGACAAGTCATATTCTCACTCAACGAAATTATTTTCATAGGAAATTTATCTTGTCATATGAGAAGACTTAGTTTCTTGGAATTTAACTTTGTTGTGAGTGAATGTAGTATGATAGGCGACTCTAATTCAATGCATGAGTCTTTGGAAAGTAAACTCAAGCTTGTATTGATGTAATTTTAGTATTTTATGACATGACAAATAGTCGATTCGGTTGAGAGATGTCAGACACTTGATTTTTTTTTTCTGAGATATGATTAAATGAATGAGCTGGTTTTTTTTAATGATATCCATTAGATGAATGGATGAGTTGTGAAAGTATGTGTTTCTATGACACTTTTTAAAAGAAATCTAGTTTACCCTTTTTTTTTATTTTCTCAATGTTTTTAAAATGTGATGATTGAATGTTAATCAGAGTAAAAGATTTTTTGTAAAATCCCCTTTTTCTTTCTAGATGCACAAAGTCGACACAACAAACAAAAACTTTCACGTTCTAAACATGCCTCATTCTCTTTATTTTCTTCTTCTTCAATATCTCATCCTTTTCCTTTTCTCCTTGGTTAGGTTGACAACAAAACTAGAGATGGAGAGCTTTCCCACTTCACTCCATTCTTTATACTAACTAGGGGTGTCAAAATGACCTCTGCCTCGCGGGCCAGCCTGTCAAAATGGAGCAGGTCGAGTTGAAATTTTTAACCCGCCAACTCATTTTGGTTCGACCCATTTACCCATTTAGACTGCAAAACTCCTAACTCATTTGTTTTCTATTTTTTATTTTTAAATTAAAAATAAAAAAAATAATTAAAAAGATTAAATTTCACTATTATATTTTTTTAAAAATGTAAATATACCATATTATTATAATTTAAATCATTAACACTTATAAACTAAGTTCCAATTATTAGTTATAACAGAGTAATTTAACATGTAAATATAATAATTATTTTAATTCATCTAGTTAAAAATGTTGATTAATCCATTAAAAGTTTATAAAATATTTATAGGATTAACTATGTTTTAAATATATATTTTTAAGTATATATATAAACAATTTTTAAAAATAAAAATTTTAAAAATTAAAAGAAAGTAAGCCTAGTCCACTAACTCGTTGGTTCGTCCTGACAGAACAAATTGGGGTGGTGCTCCCTCCACCACCACACTCTGCTTCTTACACCTCCTTCAATTCTTTTAATTTCAAACCTTTTTACTTTTACCATTTAAGATTTTTTAATAAATTTGAAAACCTTACTTCTACTGTTTACTCACTACTAAGTTGCACCCCATATCTCACTGATTCCTCTCTTTCCCATTTCACTTCCTCATTTACGTTTCACTTCCTCTCATCTCTTCTTCATTTCCTTTCTTTTTCCTTCATTTGTCTCTTCCTCATTTTCATTTCATTGCTTTAATTTGGTTTAATTTTATTTGATTTACTTTAAATTGATTTTATTTGATTTGGTTTTATTTTATTTTGTTCTCTTTTAATTTTATCGTGTTTGATTTAGGTTTGATTTATTTTATTTCATTTTATGTTATGTTCACTTTATTTCATTTTGTTTTATGTAATTTTATGTGTTTTGTTTTATTTTGTTATTTGCTCCCATCATTACCGCACCTATGATATTCTTTAATCTGGACTTCATCACCATCAATACCAATCCTTATCTCCTGTGGATCTCATTATCCTTAATCGAAACCTTTTCACATAATGAATTTGCTCTTTTCGCCAACTGAATTTGGCCTATTCTAAAATTGGTAATCATTCACTCCACCAAACTGCATGATTCACGAAACTCAATTATTTCTTTAGCTTCCCATCACAGCTACTGATAGTCTCCACACTCTCCATTCTTATACCTGCTTCTCGTCAAGAACAGGGGGCACCAGAATCTTTCAATTTTTCTCCATTGACAGATGTCGGACATCCGTTGAAGGCCAAACGGATATCCCACATCCGTTTTGGCCTTTGTGGACTCTGTTCAGGCAACTAACAATAGAACCAGAAGCAGTGACAAAACAACACAGATCCAAAGCAAAAAAATAGTAATACACCCTAAATTAAACAATCAAACAATGGTGAAGAAAACCAACTTGGATGGAGACGAAAACAACCCGAACGAAATCTAGATCAATGCTCCTCGATGCTCTTCCACACCAGGGATCAACTATAATGGAAGGAATGAAACGAAAATGGAGAAGAGACAAATGAAGAAAAAAGAAAGGAAAGGAAGAAGAGATGAGAGGAAGTGAAACAGACATAGGAAAGGGAAATGGGAAAGAGAGGAATCTGTGAGAGATGGTGGTGCAGCTCTGCAGTGAGTAAATAGTAGAAGTAGGGTTTTCAAATTAATTAAAAAATCCTAAATGGTAAAAGTAAAAAGGTTTTAACTTAAGGATAAAATTGGAATTAAAAGAATTTGGGAAGGTGTAGGAAGCAGGGTGTGGTGGTGGACCCAACAAATTGTAATCTCTAACCCAAATTTTTAGTTGCAACCAAATCCAACTAAATTCGTTTTTTGTAAACTAAAAATAGGCCGAACCAAATTGGATCTGATCCATTTTGTGGCTCCAAATACTAACCAACATAAGCTAATATCAAGCAGCTACTATAAATAATAATAGGTTATCATCAAACTAACACTAAGCAAGTATGCTACATAACCAATATTTTATCACTTTTAAACTTTTAATTTTAGCAATCAACCTTTGATAATAGGTCTTACCTTCAACATATTCTTCCAAACTCTGTCATTCGTGCCACAATAAAATTATTGTAAAAATCAATCCATGATCATAAATTACATAATTTAAAAGAAATATGACTTTTCATTGTTGTCTAATTTTTTTTAAACTTTCGATTTTTTTTTATTAACTGCTAATTTTTAATGGAATTTACCTTTGTTATTTGATATGTCAATTATTAGTTTGGATGCCTCTTTTTAAATGGTCTTTTAAGATTGAATTTACTTTCATGCAATGTCTTTTGGTCTGTGTAATGCTTCCACCCTTAATATTATTATGGATTCTTCATATTTTATATTTATAGAGCAAAACACATGTAATAAAATACTGCAAATAACATGAAAGGATTATGTAGGTGTTGCAAAAGTTTAAAAACGTCATAGATATAATTTAAAATGTTGGGACAAATACTTACCTTTTTATAGAACAGTATAATTTCAAATAAAATAGGTTCTTAATTATTTTGTATTAATAGATTTCAAGGAACTAATTAGACTTTGAAAACTGATTATCTTCATATTTTTTAGACTTTGATGTTTCACATGTACGAATTTGGACAAATATTTGGGTGCGGTTTTTTCGTAGGCACTACAATACAATGATATGATATGAAAGAAAAAAACAATTTTGATTAATAAAGTTTAGATGATACTACGCATTTATTTTATTTTTTTGTTAATTTAATTTCTTAACTAATGATTTGAA